CCCCAAAACCCCAAAACCCCAAAAACCCCGTGAAAGTAGAAATTTAGAAATTAACTAAAATATTTATTAAAAATAAATGAAATTATGATATTTATAAAACGATTATTAAGATAATTAAAGTCGTATGCATTAATTAAATTGATAAATTATTTAGGCAGAAATGAACTCCTATAAATTAGTCAACACGAAAAAAAGTCCACTTACTCTCTCACAAAAAATAGAGTTTGATGCAGGCTGATCAAGGACCATAATGCCAAATCAGAAGTCAGATTAATTGCAAAATTAAAGATCTGAACTCCAGGATAAATCTAAGTATGGGTTACAGGAGTTTTTCAATGACTAAAGTGATAAGGCAAAAATGCTTGCAAATATCTAATTTGAGTTCCAATACCAAAATAGCACCAAAGATCCTAATACAGTGTGGAGTAAACTTATGAATGTAATTCTAGAGAAGAAGTAACATCAATAGATGCTTGAAATGGTTAACTTTAATAACAATGAGTTTCAGATTCTAAATAGAAACATGCCATTTATTTATCATAATAGATAAAAAAGCAAAGATAAGGGTAAAAGTTCAATAGAACTTTAAAATTAGCCAATCAAAACAAAAAGAAACGATGACAACTCTCATAGAGCTAATTCAAATGAAGAAATTAACGAGGTATTAGAGGAAAAGGAATAGTTATTTAAGTAACAGAAAGATAAGTTTCAAACTTTAAATAGTGAAGTTGAATGTTTGTGATAAGAATTTGATCTATCACAAAACAGAATTAGAGAGTTTAAATCTCACCACAGAATTTTGAAAAGAGAAGAATGGCAATTAGTTGAAAATCCTTATGAGCATTTATTCTAACCAAGCTCTTGAAACAATCATGGGTAAACCAAAAAAGCAAATAAATAGGCAGGAAATCCAATTGATCAAATGAAGATGTATTTTACAAATCAAACAAAGAACATTAGGCTAGATGATCTCGAAAAATAGTTCTAAATTTCAAATAAATAAGCGAACAGTTCTTTAATAGGTAATAAAGAAGAAAATTTATTGGAAAATGATTCAAATCAGGCGTCTGAACAAATTACTTAAATTACGGAGAGAAATGAGCAGCTAATCTTAAATCCTAAAAATTAACACTAAGAGAGGATTAGAAAACCTGAACTGATAATGAGCTTAAGCAGTGAAAGAAATTTTGTTGTCAATGATTCGTCATTAGGATAATTCACTTCTGATAAGAATAATTTTCATTATAGTAACATAATTAACCGAAATCCTGATAAGTTGATTCATAGAAGATAGAACCACTCAGTGATCAGCAATATTATTAAACAGCAAACAATAAAATCTGATCCCTCAAACGATTTATTCTAAATTTAAAAAATGGAGTAATACTTGCAAAATAAAAATTATGGATCTTTTAAGGGCCATAGACCAAAGAGAAGTAGAAATGATAATCTCAGTAGCTTTAAAACTGATAAAAGTAAAAAGTCCCTAGACCCCTATAATTAGAATTTAAAATTAGTTTCACATGAGACAGATATTTAAATGAAATCAAGAAATAAAAGTCTACTTTCTAAAAACAATAGCTTTAATAAAGGTTTATCATCTAGAAGAAATATCAAATGTATAGCAACCATCCATGAAATAAGTCTTCCAAATATCAAATCAAAATATATATGATATTAAAAGACTATGTATGTCTGGTAAATTAATTTATTAGAAAGAGTTTTATCTTAATTTAATAAGCTATCTTATTTAAAATTTTCATTTGCGGGGTTTTGGGGTTTTGGGGG